AGGGATGTGCTCTGCTCTTTGGAGAGGAGCTGGAGGCAGGGAGCTGCCTGCTTCTCCACCAGCAAAACCTCCACTCCTCAACTTGGAACACCCCCAGAAGGATGCTCCCTGCACCACTGACACAGTTATTCCACATTTTTCCAGCTCCCACGCAGCCCCTGCTCGTCCCCGGGGTCGGATGCCCTCACCCAAGAGCCAGATAAGAAGCAGCAGCACAAGCACCAGCGCGTCCCGGCTGCCTCCCAGCCTCCCTCCTGGCTCCCAGCCTTCCCGGCAGAGCGGGGAAACCCGAGAGCTGACATCCAAGCTGGCGGGGAGCACAGGGAGGGGGTGGCCGGACCCCCCCGAGGGATGAGTCCCAGGCTTTGAATAAAAGCCAGTGCAGCCTCAGGTGACTGGGAGCTGGGGGGACATTTGAGCGGTGCCGCAGCAGCAGGGAGAGGATGGGCAGCCCGATACCCACACAGCAGCTGCCAGAAAAGGAACCCAACAGCTCCACGCAGCACTGCGGCCCCATCCCGGCATCGGGGCATTTCTACCAGCTCCCAGTTTGCAGGAAAAGCCCCCCTAAAAAAAATTCCCCCCCCTCCTTCATCCCCTCCTCTCTGGGCGTCAGGTCTGGGCAGGCAGAAAGCAGCTCAGCTCCTTCCAACTATGCAACCCCTGCGCTGTGGCCAAAGCGTGCAAGGAGGAAGGGGCAGGCAGCTCTGCCAGCGTCCGCCTGCCCCCAGCCCCAGCTCCTATCTCGGTGGGTTCACTGCCACCCCGGCCACCTCTGCCTCTCAGCGTTGGCTTTTTGCTCAGAGAAGCCAGAAGGAAGAAGATTTCCTTGCTGAAGTCCAAGCCCAGGCAGACGCCGTCCATCCTGCCCTTTGGTGGGAAAACCTGGAGGGTTTGGTTGTAAAAACCGGCATCCGCCCCGTGCTCCTCGCTCCATAAAGGGCTGGTCCTGGCTCCAAAAGGAGCGAGGAAACCTTTGATCAGCAGGAGCAAAGGGGGCTTAACACGAGGCAAAACCCAACACGCCACAAGTCCAGGAATCCATGGACACAGGCATCACCTCGGAGCAGAATCGCGTGCGATGAGACCAGCAAATCCACGTGCAACCGGTACAAATCCCACCGGAGCCTTCGGCTTCCTTAATCACCACACGCCTTCCAGTAGAGCCCTGCTGGGGCCCAGCCAGGGGCCGGGAAGGGCAGGGAAAAGCCTCCCCGTGCTGCTGGCTTTGCTCTCTGCAAACCCACAGAGATCTCACCCCAGGGGGGGATTCAGCAGAGAAGTTGAGGGTATAACCCTCAGGGACACCAAAGGAGAGCGCTGCTTCCATGAGGACACCCTGTCCAAAGTCTAAGGGTTGCTCTCAGGAAGCCTCCACCGCCGGGAAGACAAGGCCATGAGATTTTACCACTAAGCTGGGAATGACTTCCCTGAAGTGGCTTATTAAACAACTGGGACCAAATTCCAGGAGAAAGCACACCATTTACAGCATTTCCAGGCAGCCGAGCCTGGCACCAGACCCTCAGTCCTTAGCACGGGAGGAAACGCAGCTGACAGTTATAAAAGCTCAGCGAGCAGCCGGGAGAGGAGCTTGGAGAGAGCAGTAGGTGCTTCCCACCACCCCCAGAGAGAGCAGGGAAGCAGCAGTGACAAGACAGGGATGTGGGAGAGAGACGAAGCCGGCAAACCCCAGTCCCAGCCATTGCTCCCCACCCTTCAGGATGGAGGAAGATGGGTTCAAGAGGCCCATTTGGGGTTATTCCTCCTCCCCTCGCTCCCATCCCCGCAGAAGGAGCAGGCAGGGCAGCTCTGGGATTTGGGACATCCCTTCCCAAGGGAGGGCTGGCAGGGAAGGAGCAGCTTGTGGGGCACGGGGTGCAGGACGGTCACAGCCCGCTCCGCCTGGCAGGGAAAGCTAATCTCTTCCTCGGCTCTAATCCTCCAGCAAACACCAGGAGATAAGGGAAATCACCATTATTGATAGAGCAGCTCCTGGTGGCACTCGTGTTGGCCCCAGCCACCCTGGCAGCGAGGGGTAATGCCGACTGCCCCACTGGGGTTACCAGGCCTTTCCAGACAGACAGACCCTGTCCCCAGCACCCTCCTACCCAAAGGGACCCTGCTGCCACCCCCCTCCAGAGCCCCAGCACCTGCTGGAGCCCCGAGCAGGGACAGACCCTCCGTTCTCCCCCTTGGGATCAGCCAATTCCAAGCCCCATCCCAGCCCCAGCACCCTGATCCCTCTGGAGCAGCCCCCCCACCGGGAACGGAACCCCTTCCCCACCGGCCCCATCCCGTCGCGACCCTCCCCGCCGGATCCATCCTGACCCTGCCCACTCCATTTCCGACCGGTCTAAGCCCTTTTCCCGGTTGGACCGGCCCCATCCCGACCAGTCCGTGTCCCTTTTCCCGGCTGGACCAACCCCTTCCCGGCCGGACCGGCCCCTCTCCCGGTCGGTCCAAGCCCCATCCCAAGAGCACCAGCCGCGTCCCGAGGGGTCCCAAGCCCTATCGGGGCTGCTGCGAGTCCCATCCCGGCGGAACCGACCCCATCCCGGCGGAGCGGGGAGGGAGCTGCTGTCCGGCGGGGCTCCGGTCCAGCCCCCTCCCGGGGATGGGGGGAAAGAGCCGCCCCCACCCATAGATCCGCACCCCCCGGGGGCGTGGAAGGGGAAAAGGGGTCCCGGCGCACTCACCATGGGGTCCCCCCCCCCACCGAGGGCGCGGACCCCGCGGCGGCTCCCGGGGAGCCCGGTCCGGCCCGGCCCCTCCGCCGCCTCCCGCTCCGCCGGGGCTCGCGGTTTGAACTTGGCTCCACGGTGGGAGGGGACGGGCCCGGCCACACCGCCGCCGGCCCAGCCCCGGCCCCCGCGGGGGAGTGCTGCCCCGCGGCCCCGCCATCGCCTCCCGGGCTCCCCCCCATCCGCCCCCGGGGCCACCGGTTGCTGCCCCCCGGGCGAGCGGAGAGGTCCCGGCAGAGAGAGCAGGGGTCGGGCTCCCAGGGACGGGTCCTGGTACCCAGGGATGGGTCCAGCTCGGGGGGAGCAGTGGTGGCCAGAGGGGAAGGGTATGGAGAGGCTCCTTCTGCCCCCAAAAAAGGGCCATCACCCCCGGGTCTCACCCACCCGAGATCCAAAGTGACGCACGTCCCCACACCGGAGCAGGGCCGGGGCTGTGTTTCCTCCCAGGGAGGCAGAGCACGGCAAGTTTGGATTTCTGTGTTGATGGTTATCACTCTGGGTTCAGGCAGAAGCTGCCACGAACCCCAGTCAGCGCTTACAACAGAGGTGAGACCCCTAAAAATACCTTACAGGCATTGTGGGCCCCAGCTTTCAGCCCCCTCCTCTTTCCCCTCCGAGTTTCGAACAGCAAAATCACCACCAGCATCCCAGGAAACTGCCCCGACTCAGTTTCGATTGCAATGGAAAAAATAATAATAATTAAAAAATATATATATATATGAACCGACAGCAACACAGAGTGGAGTGGGTGTGTTTGAGGAAGAGATATGGTTGAATAATCCAGCTCTTCCTCAGCTTGGCAAGAATGTTCCACCACGCCAAGCCAGACCCACGGCACACACAGCAACATACCGCCGCAGACAGCACCCATATAACTTGTTTATTGAGCTCTATATATAGTTAAAATTCATAGGTGCCATAATCTATTTAAAAAACACACCGACATCTACAAACATGAAAAGGCTGTGAGATTGACGATCCCTTTTACCCCAAAAAATAAAGAAATTAATAAACAAAAAGCACCAAATGCAAGGAATGTAACCCCCTGGGCAGGGGGAAAGGGAAGCTACAGGTGGCAAAAGGAGCTCGATGCTGTTGAGCTCCATCTCCATCCAGCCCAGGTCCCCTTGCCCAGGGCTTCCAGCACATCCCAGTGCACGACACTGGGAAACAATCTCTTCTCTCACCACCCACAAAGGGCAACTCTCCTCCAGCAAATCCTTCCCCTGTGTCTTCTCAATCCCAGGGCTCTTGGGCAGCCTTTCCCAACAAATCCTTCAGGGATGTGGGTGTTCCCACCTGAGCAAGGGGCAGGGAAAGCGCACGGATCCCGATCTGTGGGCACACACACAGTATCTGGCTCGAGGGAGATGCTCCAAACGTAAATGAGGAAGATCTCCAGCAAGAAAAGCCATGGTCCCAGCCATCCCTCCCCATCCCAACACCCCCAGCCACCAAACGACAGCACCACAGGGCAGAGGGACTTATGTCCCACCATCACTCAGCCTTCCCAAGCACATCACCACGCTGGGAAGTGCCACAGCAACCAAAATGCCATAATTCCCTTCCCAGAGAGGTGGGATACAGCCCCCACGTCCCAGCACTTACACACATCACATCATGGAGAAAGAGTAAAAGCCGCGTGAGAAGCACAAGGGGCTGAGGAAGGAGCAGCACGTGCTGAAAGCTACTTTTTAGAATTTTTTGTTCCTCCTGCAGTTTCTGGCTCAGTCTCGAAATCCTGGCCTTGCCACATTCCCTGCCCATGTGTCCACCCTCCTCTTTTCACACCAGATTGATGTCTCTGTTCTCCTCCCCAAACAACCCCCCTTCCCCTTAGCCCACACACAGGGAGGATGCCGGTGACGGCACGAAACCCCCGAGCAAGAGTCTCTGGACTCCCAACACCTCTCACTCACCTTTGGGAAACTACAATTCCAGGGGACAGTTGTGATCTACACCCTCCTGAATGAAAACGCAGCTTCGCACACTTTCACCAGCTATTCAAGAGAAAGCACAAGAGTTTCCGTTATGAACTCAAAGGAAAACAGGCTTTTTTTGCCTCAAGACCAACCGTTTCCACTTCACCCGTGCTTAAACATGGGTTTTCTCACCCCTTTTTTGGCAAATGGCACAACTTGGTGTAACCACCGCTGGCAAACACGTTCCCAGGGTGGTGGGGGCCTGATAAGTTCAAAGGTTTCTGCTATCAGACTCGCTCTTCCCAGGCAAAGGGCAAGACCACACTCAAAGAGAACGTCAGGAAACGAAAAAAAAAAACAAGCTGTATTTTATACATATTGTCCAAACAAGAGAGAAGGGCTTTTCTCCTCCAACTCAATGCATTCTACGATGCACAAACACAGACTCGGATACTTTTGCTACATCCTAACAAATAAGACGTTACAGCTTTTCATTCAATGATCACAAGGAAGTCAGGTTTTTAAGGGTCAAAATAACACAGATCACAAGTGTAGAAAACTGCAGACAGCTTATAAAGGGTCCCAAACACAAAGTTTTTCCTCTCAAGAATCTGCTGCTTTCCTTCTGGACTTGAAGAGAGTCGTCCCAAACATCTCAACCCACAGCAGTTGTCACTGTCAAAGTGCACATTCTCTCAACGCCTCTGAATAAAGGTTGTTCCTTCAAAAGAACCTTCAGGGATCGCTGGATTTTGCCTTGTTACTTTAAAATACCACTGTGCTTAATGTGCTTAAAGAAATCAGACACCTAAAAGAATAAGGTTATACTATATACATTTTTTAAAAAATCGAGGAAAAGCTCCCTAAAAATATGCTCTTGAATTTCACAAAATGCTCCATCTGGAGGATGCTCAGGTTGGAGGAATATTTCCAAGTTGTGCTGCAATTGGCCAGCAGAGGAGACCAGGCTGACCCAGGTGTGTGGCAAAAAGTAATTAAAAAAAAAAAAGGGGCCATGAGCAGCCCTTCCCCTCGGCTGCCCCTTCTCCAGCAGAACTTGTCTCCTGCAAGGAACGTTCAGAGGATTCAAACAGCAGCAAAGCAGATTTGCTGCCACCAAACCAGCATCAGATGGGCCAAACACTAAGGAAACTGCACAGGGAGGGACAAGGCATGCCAGGGGAGAAACCAGGGGAACTGCTCAACGTCAGAATCTATACAAGCAACTAATCAAAGCTTGTATTTACAGGGTGGATTGAGGCATCAGAATGGAAATGCCAAGGGAGCCTCACAAGACTGCTCGTCTCTCCTGCGCGACACCAGCGTTCAGATGTGCTACAGACCCTGGTGACCACACCGGGTGAGCCAAGGGCACCATCACAGGGAAGAGGAAGGAGCAGCCTTTGGTTTTGGAAGAAATATCTTAAGATCTTTCAATCTGTGCCACCGTAAAGGCGAATGCACCGAAGCAGGTAAGTCCTACGGAGACGACTAAGGAGGCTGAAGGCAGCAAACTCTAGAAGGTGTTTTTAAGCTTGGCTGCCACAAGCACGAGAATCTCGCCGATCTTTTTCTGCCAGTTCTCTATGTCCTTGGAGACATCACACCAGAGCTCTCCGTGGCGAGGTTCGGCATTCTCACAGCGCTTCCTCACCTCTTCTTGTTGTTCCTACGAGGGAGAGAAACGACAGTTTGCACGTCTCTTAACACCCTGCTTTGTTTCCGCACAGAGACAGCAATTTAACAATCCCCTCCCTGACTCAAACCCTCTTCCAAAGCTTAAGGTGGGTTTTTTGTTTTGTTTTTTATCTCTTAACACCCTGCTTTGTTTCCGCACAGAGACAGCAATTTAACAATCCCCTCCCAGGTGGGTTTTTTGTTTTGTTTTTTAAAAGGCACCGTGAAAGCCCAAAACAAAATCCAGTGGCAGTGTGTCTCCTGCTTTGCTGAACAAACTGGCTGAATTACAGTCAAGCAAGTTTGGGCTACACCAGAAAAACTGCAGCAGAAACTTCCTCCGTGTTACCACCTGCACGAATTCTGTCAAGTGAGAGGTCTCTCTGAAGTTGGAAGATAAACACTCCCATCATTTCAGTAATATCAGGCAGTAAAAACCGCCGTAAGAGATTAGAACAGACTGTTCCTCTGGCTGTTTTCACGTGCAACCTTGTACTTGACACTTGTGAGGAAACGGGACCAGTTACACAAACCCAGCATCGCAGTTACAGGAAAATCTCCCAGGAGAAAGTCTGCGTTTTACAGGGGAAAGATTGATTTCACAGATATTTTTTTGTTGCACAAACGAGCATGACTGTGGACAGCAAAGCAGCCCGAAAGACAGCTCAGCTAACGACAGAGCCTTTTAAAAACCACCACACAGGCCTGTTCATGCTCATTCGTGACCAGGCGTGACAGCCTCAGCTGGGAGCCACACAGGCAGCGGCAGCGTGCTCAGCCCAGCATTTCCCAGTCCCCGGGACTGGATCACCAGCAACAGCCAGGGATTCCTGCTGCCTTTCCCAGCTGATCCCGGGCCCACGCTCACCTCCGTGCCGTGCTGCAGCTCAAACTTGTAAAAGAAAGCCCAGGCATCCCCCAGGTCAGAGTCGATCTTCACCGTTCGGTGGAACCATTCTCGGGCCTTGGTTATTTTACGCTCGCTCCAGAAGAGCCTGTTGAGAAAAGTGAAAGCGAGTCAACAAACAGCCTCTCTCTTTAGAGGAATGTGGCAATCCACCCAACTTAAAGGCTTTACAGATATTTCAATTTTGTACTCTCCCAAGAAGGAAACAGTAGATTTTGTAAGCGTCTGCTTACTGGCCTTCCCCTGGGAAGGGACATGAGAGAAGTGAAAAGATCATCCACCACTTCCTCTTCACTCTCCCCCAAGTGAAGCAGGTTAAATTAGCCCCAGGAAGAGGCCAACACTCCCAAGGAGGGAAGTATCACTCCCTGAGTTCAATCTCTGCCTCCCTGACCTCAGTCTTGGATCCTCTGAGCTCAATCTTTGCAACCTCAATTGCTTTGTTTTGTTTTTCCAGATCTGGCATAGACAGAGACAAGATCACACACATAATTGCTTTGTTTTGTTTTTCCAGATCTGGCGTAGACAGAGACAAGATCACACACACACACACCTATTTCCTCTCCTCCAATTTCTTCATATTTCAAGTCGATTTCAGTACCTAACAATTAAATAACTTCTTAAAGCTGAAAATTGCAAGCAGGTTCCTGGAGCCACGGCTCCACATCCCCCAAGCAGGCTCCAGGGGGGCAGACCTGCCTTGCCAGCCCCACTTGAGGAGGAAAGGGGGGGCACATCAGCTCCCATGCTCGAGCCCCAGCCTGGCACCCAGCCCGGGGGCTGCCACTGCACAAAGGTAACTCCCCAGTTCTGAAATGTCTCCCCAGTAATTAACCAGCTGAGTCAATAGTCCCTTGGTTTCACTCCTTTGCACCAAAGAGTTCATTTGAGCTAGTAAGGTCTTTATCAAATCAGCCAGCCATCGCTCATAAAGAGCTTAGCCAGTCATAAAATTATACAGCTTATGTGATTGTTTTTAAGCCCTATAATACTCTTGATTGTTCCACGTTAAATAAACTGTGATTTAAAAGAGCACGAACAATGATAGCAGAGGCTTAACACCTGCAAGTAGTGGCCATTTTCAGCAATACATTTAACAAAAGTTTGTCACGGCCGTGTGACACTCTGGGATTAATGCATCTACACACACCTCCTGATGGGAGGTGGAAGCTGTTTGTGCTGGGATTAACTGCAAAACCGTCTGAGGTTGCACCAGAAGGGGCTCGGAAGCAGTTTCCATAAAGCAAAAGTTAACATTTTTCTCACTTGCTGCTAAAGCTGAACGAGTCAGCTGTCACTGTCTGGCAGAACCCAGCGTTGCAGTCACTGGAGTGTATCCTACAGTTTTCTTTGGCTTATAAAAACAAGTTGTGAAATAATTGGGCAACTGTTTGGGCAACGTGCTTCCTGCGTTAACCTCTTCTGGTATTCACAAAGGAAGAGATGTCAGTTTGTTCCAATCACGACCGCTGAAGAGCCGTTCGCGCATCAGATTAGAAAGGACACGACGTGAGTCAATCCTAAGAGCGGTTTTTCATCACTGGAAGCCTCGCAACTCCATCTAGACAAGAGGACCATTCCTAATAGACTGTCTTCCCATTTCACCAAACTACAGTAGCCTGCATTCCAGGAAAGGCCACAACTGAAGAAAACCGACATTGCAGAAATTCAGGAGGAGAGAAAACTACGACAGCACAGAATTTAGCTCAGGGTTAAAAAAAATCTCTGACAGAATCTAGGATAGAGAGAAAATATGAAGAATACACAGTCAACCACACACAAAGTGAAAAATAACCAGCAAAATGGTCCCTATTTTCACAGGTCCTTAAAACACACCCTATAAAACTGAACTAAACCTGGTTCATCTGAGAGCACAGTGAAATCCCTCTGCAGGGACACAAAGATAGCGATTTTCAGAGCACTGATACGCAGCGCTGGGAAAGGACTCAGTGTGAGTGGATTTGCTGTCCATGCCGCAGCCCCAGGCCCACCAGAACTGGTTGAGGGCAGGCTGACACCCCCTGCTCTGAATCAAGGGAGAGCAGCAGATTTGCAGAGTTACCAGGAGACAGCTCCAGGGCTGTTCCTGGCTTTGAGGTTTATTCGAGCTGCTGCAGCCAGAACCAGAGGGTCACGCTCGAGCTCAGTGTTTCATCATGGACACAGCCACACACAGACATGGGCATTTTTACAACATCAAGCACAGGAACTCACTTGGCCACGGCCAACAGGACATGTGGGTCGTGTTCACACTTCTTGAGAGCATCCACACTCTTGGTCTTCCGTTGCGGTCGCGCTTCAAGGAAAATTGCCTCTGACCACAGGATTCCTTAATCAAATCAAGTAGGAAGATTAGTTTTAGTGTTATTTTGGAAATTAATCCTCCCCGTCCTGTCATGAGGCCAGTGCTCCCTAACACAAGCAGCACCATGGCCCCCACCCTGGTGATGAAGGACAGAGAAGGTCCAGGAAAGCTGGGCTTAATCCCTAGTTCCTTTCACTGCCAAAAGCAAGAAAGGAAATACGCTCAGAGGAGCATGAAATCTTCAGTGTCTCATGTCAGCCAACCATACCTGCTGAGCTCTTCAAAATAAAGCCTGAAAGCTCGTGTCTGCCAGGACTCTATCAAAGTGCTCTCACTTCCCATAACCTGCACCACAGGAACATGGACAAGCTTTGATGTGACAGATTGGAGCAGAATTCTTCTCGCTCTCTACACATAGGGTAAAGCCACATTTTTCAGGCCTCTATTTTCAGGTCTGATAAAGGCACAAACACCATTATATCTCAATTTTACTTTGTGCAGCTGCCCACAACAGCCATAAGCAACCAGGAATCAATTCAGCAATTGATGGACACAAGCCTTTGGTTCACATGACTGGAGGTGTCCAACAAACTAATTTCTGCAGGCTTTTATCCCAGTTTGTAGAGTTTTCTGATCGAGTTGGAAGTGATTTTATTTCAACAAAAACTGAGATCTTGCTCCCCGTTTCCATAGCAACAGGCAGATTCTGCAAAAAAAGCCTGTAGTGGCAAACACTCATGAAACATTAGGTCATTCACAAAACAAAGTGGGACTTGGGTGGTATTGCTTTGTTGACCCACCCGCATGGTGAGCAGCTTGCAACGAGTTTATCAGGTCATAAAAGTCACTTAATCCCCAATTATTTCACTGGGACTTCAACAGCCACCAATTAAACACCTTTCAAAACCTAGCCTGAAGGCGAGCTAAAAAAGGCTTGTCCTGCAGTAGACTACAACATTTTGTAGTTTTTTTGTGACATCTTCTCTCCAAAGATGTCGACATGTTTAAATAATTAAGTCTTCCCACAATTCTGCCAAAACCCAGGGAAGCGTTATGTGCTTTCTTCCTCCCATCCCAAGAGGGAAATGTTTCCACTGCTGCTTAGAACCAACTGACTTAGATTATATGACCTATTTGCCTCTTCTTAAATGAGTTAAAAGAATCAAAACCCAGGACTAAACGTTTATGGTACATGATCCCCTAATCATGACTGCAACTGAAATTTACTGCCAGCACAAGTTATTAAGCACACAGAAGTGCAACCAGTGCAGGCAAACCCACGACGGGAAGTCTCCTCTGGCCAGCTCTACTCCAATGAGACAGGGAAAAACCCATTCTTTCTCCAATGAGCTTCCTCTCTACAAACACTTGAGAGTCCTCCTTTAATTTTAAACCTTGGCAGACTTCTACCAGCTTCAGAGAAAAGCCACTCATATCCAGGGTGCTTTCCCAGGAAACCTGAGAACAAACTGTGGACCACAGACCCAATAATATACTGGATACTGCAGCAAAATGGAACTAACACCAACCCATGACCTTCCCAGTGTGAGACCACACAAAGCAACTGGGATTATTCACAAAGATGCTCAACGTTTCATTTGCAGAAGGATGACTGACAACTCTCCAAAATTTAGTATTTTGAGACCTGGTCAGAAAGGGCATCTTGGAAAAAGATGTGCCTTTATCAAGTGGGGAAAACAACTGCGTGTAAGATAGAAATGAGATCCATCTCACCTGAATTGGGGCATTCCTGCAACGCCTTGGCCATCAGAGTATTTGCAATATTCTTCAGCCCAGCTCTGTACTCCAACCGCACAGACTCTAACCTGGTAAGGGAGAGACTCCATGATGATATTTATGACAACACATTCATTATGCAGAAATAAACAGTGAGTCACATGAAGGTCACTGGAAATTGCAAACATCTGCCCATAGTCTGAAAACATGAAGGTGAGTGACTGACAGCTTCCCATTCCCCTCTGTCTGAAAATAAACATGATCTTTATTCTATAATGGCTTGGGTCAAAAACAATCTAAGAAAGGGATTGTAACAGAAATGAAGGATCCCTGGGGTTTCATGCTCTGTGCACTACAACCATCAGTAAAGAACTAACTAGTCCCCCCAGCTCCTCAGAGTAGCTACATACTAGCCAGGATCACCAAAGCATTTCTGGTATATAGAAATAGTTGATAATTGAGATGAAACTCTAGAATGGGCACAGTCATATGCTCCAGGCTCAAATGGCTGAGAAGATGTAAAGTAGCTGGTCTGAAGAACACATTGGCTTTGTAGCCCAAATTCAGTTCATCTCCACACAACTCACCAGAGATCTGGATTCTTTGGATTCTTTAGGCGGGACTTCTCCAAGATGGCTCTTGCTCTAGTCAACTGCCCAACTTTCTCCTCCAGCCTGGACAGCAAAAGCCACAGGGGTATGGAATGGGGGCACTTTTTCAACTGTTCAAATAAAAACCCAGAAGTGTGGTAGTAAGTAGATTTGAAAAAAAAAAAAAATAATCTTATAACCTCTATAGAAACCCCAACGTAATCCTGAAGAGTTTAGAAGAGAGCCAAAGCTGATAACACCACTCAAATTTCTCCTAGTTAGTCTTAAAGCACAGAAGTCAAGTTTCTCCTCTATCCAAAACAGTCGGGTACATCAACTATGACTGAGATATCCCAGTAGCAAGAGAAAGAATACACCTCCCTTAGTAATACACCCAACAATTTGTGCCCTGTCTGGAGATGGAGGGCTCTTACACACACCCAAGCTGCAGCAACAGTGTGTGCAGGGAACAGGCTGCCTTTGAAGCCTTGGAAGTTGTTAGGAGTGACTCTGGCACAAACCTGCTTCCACATTATTTCATGGCTGAGAATTTCAGAAGCATTCATACCCAAGGACACCCATTACCATTTAAAAGAGACCCGAGTGCTCTGTAGGACACCTCCTTTTACAGTGTGTATCTAAGAGCTTGTTAGGAGGCTTTTCTTTTAAGAGTTCTGCTTTTAGTCTTTACAGATCTTAGAGAATTATTGTGCAGTGACTTATTTCCTACCAGTGAGGAGTCAAGCATACAGCAAACTCTCTCAATTTTGCACATGGATACTGGGTAAGAGAAATTCTTGCTGCTTATTTCAAGGTCCTAATTTTTTTATTTTTCTCTTTTGTTTTTTTTTAATCAGTGACAGAGAGAACAGAAGTCACCTTGCCAGTTAGTCTGGGGCACAGCCCTCTTCGTTTTGATTCCAAGAGAGACCCCATGCCAGAAGCACAAAGCAAACCTGCAATAACATATATCTTACCCCTTGATTATAAGCCTCCCGGGCTTTCTCCACCAGCTCCTTTTGTTCCTCGATTTGTCCCTTCATCATCCACAGTTTGGGGAAGTCCTCATAGTGCTTCAGGGCTTCCTCACAAAGCTCCTGGGCTGCAGCGATGTTCCCAAGCACCCATTCTAACTTCACAGACTTCATGAAGACCTGAGAACAAACCAGAGCTGTTCAGCACCAGCAGCCATTGAAAAACCATTGGTCTGTCAATACTATGGGTTCCTGTTCATTGGAATGTTATTGATTAGCTACAGTTTGAAGTAAAATAAAAAATAAATAAATACCAGGGTTGAATAATAAGTGGGAAGCAACAACAATGAGAAAGGGAAATGCAAGTATTAAAGGAGTTGGAAAAGTGTGATCAACCTGTATCTTCCCAATTAGCATAGAGTTGACATTTGTATATTTGTATGAAAAGCACAGCTTTAAGAGCATGATCAATTAACAAACTTGAACCTGCTTCATCAGCCCCATCTGATCTCCTCAGATCCAAGCTACTAAGATCACCTCTTCTTATTTAGGGCTACAAGCGTCATCCTGCTAATTACAAACTGATACATATACTTTTCAGCCCCCCAAATGTCCTTCTTTTGGCTACATCTGGAACTTACAGCTGTAACAAATACATTATAGACTGAGGGCTGCATCACTTCTCTTTGATCCCAGTCCTCCCCGTTCCCAAATGCCCCCCACCATGACTTCACAAGAGAAGCACCAAGGCTGTGACCAGTGTTCAGCTCCAGCTGCCAGAGAAGTTCCCTGACTGACAAAGGAGGAAGAGGATGGTTTAAAAGATCTAGGATGAAGCACAAACTGGGAGCCAGGGCAGGCAGGGGGGAAACCACACTCTTTTTTCTTTTACTTGGACAAGTTAAGATGGTTCTGTACGGACAGCTGAAAATCAACAGTTTATCATACCAGAAGTAACTCTGGAGATAAACACAGGAGTGTAAGTTTAAACAACAAACTCAACCAGGGCTGTCTTTAGCACAGCAACAATAAGTGAGTCTTCTGTGAAAGTATTTTCTCTCTTTTTTTTTTTTTTTCCAAGCCGTGCCTTTATGCAACACAAACATTATACAAACAGCTGTAAACTGGGAATTTCCTGACTTTTGCCATTTGTGGAAAAAAAAACTGAAACCCTTCACTTGATCCTAGGCTTTTTCTTTTTTTTTCCCCCCTGTCACGCCGTGATTTTGTGTCGCAATTCGCTGGAGAAGCGCAGCAGCGAAGCAGCCACACAGGGCTGCAAAAGGCAACGGGCAGGGAGCCATGGGTCAACCCCTCAGGCTGCCCAGCCCAAGGAACTCCTCCTTCCGCCTCGACTCCCCCGTGGCAGAGAGGGGTCTTGGCCTCCCCCACCCCTTGGCACGTCCTTACCCTGGCAGTGGGGGCACTGCTACGGGCTTTGGCCAGCAGCCTCCTCGCTCTCTCGTACTCATTGTTTTCCGACTCCAGCTTCACGGCAGCCAGCCAGATCTCCTCGCTGTTGGGGTTGGCCTGCAAGAACAGAAAATGACAGACAAATGCACACACAGTGAATCAACAGCAGATTTAATCCCTCGTTTGATCCAGATTAAAATTGAAATCAGAGCTTTGTCAATCCACGCTAGGATTTTTTTTTTTTTGCAGTTCAAGCTCCTCCCAATCTTCTTTGACCTTTGAAGTTTATAGAAATTCTCCAAAACAGATGCGCAACACAAAGATATATGCCAGTTTAGAAGTTGGATGCTTCTCAATTGTTGAAAAGCATTAATGCTTGATCTTCTGAACTTCCAGTTTAAATACTGAAAAGATCATAGGCTCTGCCACAATAAGACCCTCTTTTTATTATCCCCGAGCAAAAAAAAATTGAAGCTTGAATTCCCAACCGAGATCTGTGAACACTCCTCCAATAAAAGTCATTCCAGTGGCAACAACCATGTCAAGAAGCCTCCAGGACAATAACAAGAAGCACCAAGAACAAATTTAGGAAGAAAATATCCTTTATCTTCCATCTCAGAACCTGTCATTTGGGTTTGCTATCACTTGGCTTTTAAACCTCATTCACAGTGTTAGAACTGTACCTCTCTGCCCACCTTTCTTTCAGCATCCAGGAGATAATTCCCTTCATTTTCCTGTGGATTAGTGGGTTTGGTCCAAGCCCAAAATAACAGAGTAACCTCATTAATTAGGGCAGACCACTAGCATTTTTATTGAGGAGATAGAAGACCCAACACAAGGGGATTCTGATCCATGACTGGGGTTGATGGGAACCATGGTAATAAAATTAATGGTTTGCAAAAGCAGAACCTGGTGTGGTGCTACTAAGAGTAGCAGTACATTCTTCCTTCCAGCTTGTCACTATTTTACAGGAGAGTATTTTGCCACATAAGGCAATCAAAGAACAGCAGAAGCCCTCATCACTTTGAAAGGCAGCAGGAATCAGGTGTTGAGAGAAAAAGCCCACTCTGTGTTCTTTACCTGTCGTACTTAACACCATCACACAAGTCCAACACACCCACCTGGAAAGCCAGGGCCAAAATGCTTCTGGCAGCTGGCACATCTCCTGCCAGCCACTTCGATTTGGCACCCATCAGCCACAGGACTTCTGCTTTGGGACAGTGAGCCACAGCTCTCTGCAAAAGAGCCTCCAAGGATTCCCTGAGACAAGAAAGAGCAAGTTATAATCACTCGAAATACTGCCAAAGGCGAGCTCTCACACCATTTCCACTATCACTCAATGTTATAAATATTGTTGCAAAGTCCAACGTTGTAAACCCTGATAAGTTGTTTCATAACAAGGAAAGGGTGGGGTCTTTTTTCACAAGGGTTCTGAAATCAGCTCTCCACAAACGGCTCATTGTTCAGACACCTTTCTTTGATAGCCTCTGCTGCACACAAACAGCTCATTTGTCTTGGAAAGAGCCATTCTTCTTAACAAACCTTAGTAGAAACTGAGACAGGAAGTTTTTCAGAATTATTAGAAGTTGGCTTGATCTTAGTATTTTTTTTTCTCCTCTGGAAAATATATTTTTCAGGTAGAACAAGGGGTTTAAAAGCCAGCCACCACGGGGAAACATGGCAGAGTAACATCAAAAGCAAGATACATACTTATCTAAAAAAAAAAAGGCTTGAATGAAGCAGAACTCAGCATCTGCAGTCACTCCCACACTATAGTCTTGTTGGCTTTAATAAGGATGACTCCACGTGTATAAGTTGTCTATGGTATAGATTGTTTGCTTTATTCTAAACTTTGGGCAGAAAGTTTCAGATGTGTAAAGCTTTTCGAATAAATGTCAAAATAAGAGGCCTGAGCTATGACAGCATAACTCTAATCTCAATAAAGAATGTGATACACAGTATGTTTAATCAGAAAATGCCAGAGATGCTCCAACAACTTCAGCAATGAAGTAATTTATCTATGAAAATTAAATGAAGCACATGCTGTATTTTTAGGTGATTTGCATCCCCAATTTTTTATAGAAACGCCTTCTCAAAGATGAGTGCCCCTACCTTGCCTATTCCTAGCTATTTTTACCAAGTAAACCCTACTGCAAAAGCAACCTTTGCAATAAAAAAAGACTTTTTATGACTTCATAAAACCCAAAGATGTCGTGACCACAACAATAACAGAGAAGGTCAGACCTGCAAGCGACGCCAGCAAGTTTCCACCAGCTGAACTAACTCTGCACGTGCAACACAGCACTTCAGGGCTCATCCTGTAGCTTTTCCACCTCCCCAAATCCACCACTCTGTAATGGGGATGAACCCCTGCACCCAAGGATCACACAGCAAACGTACCTCGTTCCATGGTTCTTCTCAAAGTACGCAGCTCTCAGCCACACGCTCTTCTTGCTGGGGAAAACTTGCAAGGCATAAGCATAAATTGCTCGGGCACACTCCAGAGCATTATGAGCAACACACTAAGGAAAAAAAACAAATCAGAACTAAGTCAGTTTCGGATTGCACTGAAAATCAAGTGCAAGAAGGATTGACACATGTATAATTCAACACAGAACTCGATAACTCAGAGTAACACATGAATTGGGGCATTATATATAATAGAACAGCTACTGTCTGCTTTTTTAAAGGAAGCAGGGAGGAAATTTTCAAGTGTCCTTCTATCAGAGCATAAGTATCACTGGTCTTTCACTGGGACTCACACACAGGCCAGCTCAAAACATCAGTAAGACATTGTAAAGGCTTTCATGTTTGCACTTCTTTTTTGATATTTTACAAGGAAAACTCTATGCGCTACAGCCTATGCCCCCACTACTGCTGTAACCCCGATCCAAGGCCAGTGAAACGGACATTTCTCAGGCTGAAATATAATTTAGTTTTAAGTGCATGTTCCAACTACTCCCCTAAAGCAAAGAAAGCCTGGTAAAACTTTTACCCACTCCCTTGTCCAGTCTTACATTAACTGTTGAGTTACAATGTTTACGCCTTGAAATTCAACTCCCTGTACCCAGACCCTCAATCCAAACCCACATTAAAAAAAAAAAAAAACCAACAAAAAACACAGCAAACAATCTATCACAACACCGACTTTTTGCTTGGTAAAATTCAAATCTGAAAAAAGTTCTACAATACAATAACCACCCAAGAAGCAAACTGGCCAAATGAAGGCAGATGCTGTGGGAATCACATCCACTCTCACTGATAAAAAAAAAATGTCATTTCCCCGGCTTCAGTTTAATTTCCCCCAATCAAAAAACCAAACCAAAACCAAACACAGCTGGACATACACTGTCTGCATCTTCCATCCAGGTGTGTTTCCGATCTTCTTCCTCAATCCCAATCCCAATCACAGCTCGCATGATTGCCTGGCACGTGGCCACACTTCCAGCTTTATCACATTCCTCGGCATCCTAGAAAGGAGAGTAAAGCCCTGCTCATTTTGAGGAATCAGCACGGGAAGTTATGATTCTGCAACAGCAGCTCCTCATGTGCAAACACCGAGACTATGTGGGTCACTGCCACGTTAAAAATATCTTATTACTCAAACATATCTTGACACTAACCAGTGAGCCTACACCCACAAGGAAGGTGCTGTAGTTGCACACAGAATCAATCAGAAACTGGGTAAGAATCAGAGCCCGTCACCTGCCTCCAGTGAAAAGGACTAAGTGTGACAATGCGTGGCCTTCCCAGCCTGAAAAGTCTCCTCTCTCCTGCCCTGGGCTGGGCCAAGCAGGGACCTGGCCAATAAAAAACTGCAAGGATTTGAGAAAGAAGAATCGTAACGTCAAAACTACTGATCTTCTTTCAGCTTTGGGTTGATTCCTAAGTCACAACAAGGGCTAAGCAATACCTGAATTTAAATGAATAGACCCTCAACCATTGTTAAGATAACAACACAAAGGTGCTCTCACCAGAGCACACATGGAAAAGTGGAGATTTATGACATATAAAACTTTTGGAAAGCCAAGCGTGTCTTGCTTAAACTTGTTAAAAAGGCCTCTGATCAGGTAACAGAAATGGAAGTTTTAGCACTGAAAAGGAACTCGAGAAGACAATGATGCAGAGGCTGTGGTGGTGTTTTTTTCTTAAACAGAAGTTGAAATTAACCTTTAATTGTTTTACTGCTGTAAAGAAAGTTATAATTCTTTTAGATGTAAACAAGGATATCCGTTTAATATTCAGTACTTTGTTCATTATCAATACTCTTGGTGTGCCAAAGAACATTCTGCTGCCTTGACCCACTGTAAGTGATTTTAGTAGCAAACTGGTTTAAAGACTTACATTTAAACAAAGCACAGTATGTATTCATGAGAAAAGAGGTTATTTTAACCTGAACATCAAGCCATTTAGATGGCAATAGTCTTTGAAGTGTCTAACTGAGGCAAGAAGCTCATGTACCACAGCTTTTGAATGTGATCAAAACACTGGAAACCCCTACAACATTTTGTAACATCAAAAATACGACAACCTCAGATGAATCTGTGCAGAAAATGTATTTTGTAAACGTCACTGTACAACACATTTCCACTCGGCACAGCCTCAGGACCACAAGCCAATAAAAGACTAACAGAACATTTCCTGCCTGCTGCATATGCAATATTTGTATTGACTTCTTACACCACCATCTGACAGAGACTTCTTTGGCAAACAGACACCTTTTAAGCCAAAAGAAACATATGCAAAAAAACGACATAAATCCTTCACTGGAGGCGTAAAGCCTCTGTCCTACTTAAGGCAGCAGCTGCTTCAACCTGAAGCTGGTTATCTTCCAAAACAGAAGTAAATCAGACATTCCTCAGCTCAACACACGCGGTGTTACCCCAGAGCATCACCTAACTGTGGCCTTGGCTCTCAGCTTTTTTAGTATTTTTCCACAGGGAGCTCCACTGATAAGCAAAATTACCCCATCCTACGATATCTTGCATCAAAACAGAACCTGAAGAGTTCCCCTGGAGCTCTAACCAAAACCAAGCAAATACCTGTATCCATTGCTCTCTGTTGATCTCCACACCGTTGGCCCTAAGCGATGTGATGGCTCTGTCAATGATTTTCTCCACCATCTGGGTGTTTCCATTGGCTTCCTCCAGTTTGGCAGCAGTAATCCAGATGTGACGATCCGTCGGAATATTCTCCCGGGCTTTGTTAAGGACTTTACGAGCGTTCTCATATGTCTCCAGCCTTGCCAGCGCCAGCCACAGCTGGGGAGCCACAAAAGATGTATTTTAGATGAGAACAAGGAGATGACAACGCCGCCGTACGGCAGCATCAGCCCAAAGAGATAAGCAGCTTTATGCCGTTTGCTACTGGTTGGCAATTGTCCTCGAATTAGAAGCAGGCAGCAGAATATCAATGAAGAAATACTAGAAACAGAGCCTACTATTGTCCTTAAAGCTCAGTCCTAATCATTTTAAGATATCATCTCTGTTTGCTGGGCTGCTGCACTTATATTTTCTGTTCACATCACCTTTTGAACAGCTGAATATAACACTCTGGCTCAGCATTTCAGAAACGAGCAACTTTGGTTTATATTCCCCAGGCTACATCTCTGCTTATTTTCACAACTGTCGAGGCACGAAACACGAAGGTGAACACGGCTAATTGGCTGCAGCAGGCACAGCAGTGCACTGGCATAACCAGCAATTACATGTAACAATTACACAGGAAAATGAGGCATATAATGACCACCAGACAATTAACTCTGGAGAAAAAAAAAAAAAAAAGCACAGTCCACTACTCATCACATCCTTCTAGTTGTATAAAGTGCGTGGTGGAGAATTCACACCGCACTCACCCTGCTTTTTGTTTTCAAAGCTCTACTTCCAACTTAAAGCAGTGTGTAGGGGGTTACTTTATTTTACTTTTTTAAAAACTTACTTCAACACTGGTCGGACAGCACTCCACAGCCCGACTCAGCATGATCCTGGCATCCTCAGGTTCTTCTAACTCCACGGCTGCTTTCCACAAACGCACTGAGTTTGGAACATGCTCAAGGGCTAGAGAGGCAAAACAATTACGTCAGTCATGACAACATAGTTTACCAAAGAGAACTGTATTTTTTAAAGATGATGTATTAAAGGCTTTGTCCTATTACAGATGAAATTTCCTGAAAGAGAGAAGGCAGGCAACTGTACTTCTACTAGCGAGAACTTAAAATCAGAAGATAAAAAAACTTACTTAATAATTTTGATTGGAAACAGGTTGTGGAGACCCAAGGGCTTTTTCCCTGCACAAGCTGTAATTGCATCCTCTTTGGTAAAACACGTCGCTGCACAAAGGCTCCAGTCTCAGCAAATGAGCACATGTAGGATTGTCAAAATCGGGCAGCCTAATCACGCTGGACCTCCTTTTTAAAAATGAGCCTCTTCAACACTAACTAATAACACAGCTTTATTCCTTAGATGTTGAAACTGTCCCTTCACAATTTAGTTGTCCCGTAGGCATCTCATAGCTTAATGGATCCCAGTTTTGCTTCCCAAAAAGTTACTCACTATGCAACAATAAAACAGAAGGATGCATAAAAGCTTAAAGCTATCACTGACACTAACACCCTAAGCCACTGAATCCACAGTGTTCTTTCTGCAATCCAGTATGGGCTCCCTCTAATTGAGAGTCTTTGAAGCTTCCTTAATCTTGTCCAAGAGTCAGCTACTGCTGGTAGAAACTGCATTCTCTGCAGAGTGTCCTATGTGTGCTGCCTGAAACATTAAAGTCTAAACAACAGCTTTGCTCAGTCTGTCTCTTCATAACCATATATTGCAAAGGGATATTGAGAAAATAAAGTGGAGGGGGGGGTTTAGCCTTTTGTGATTACAACTTCCACCACAGATTACAAATACTCACTGCATTGCAGCAGTAGTTTCATTGCTTCCATGGTGATTGTACACAAATACGTGATAGTAAGAGAGGACTGAGCACACCCTTCTGTGATAACACAAGCAGAAATGCAGGAGCACAGAAACAGGTGGGAAGAGGCATCTAAACCTACTTTGGAACTAGCCAGGCTTCAAGGCAAAGCTGCTCCTTCCACTGCTGAGGCTCAGCTTCAGAGCACATCCCAGCACTATAGAAATACACACAGCAATTACAAGCAGTGTGCACCAAGGATTCAGGCATTGACCGTTTCTCCTCGAGTCTGCAGCAGCAGGAGATTTTTCTGGAGAATTTAAGTGAATAACATCAGCCTGCAAGAGCTGAAAGCATCACTCAGCAGGACAGAACATGTTTTCGTAGATAGAGCATTCCATTTTTATACCTCAAGATACATTTTAAACACTCAGTTTGCTGGCTCTCCAGTCAGAGAGGGGCTTTAAAAACTCCAGAGGTTCTGCTGGATGTTAGGAATTCACACAGGCAAAAGATTATGAAAGCTCACACTGCACTGACATTACCTGCCATTCAGTCTTCTGTATTTTAGGAGAAATAATGGGTTAAACTGCCACTTATCTTAAGGCTGTCTATACAAACAGCTCCAGACATCACACTGCTGATGTTCCCTAGGTAGCAGAGGAGCAATGGGAAGCTCTTAACGTGCAGAAATTGGAAAGAGAATGAAAAATCATGTTCCATTCCACTAAGAGCTTTGTGTTAGAGACTAAGTGGGTGGTTCCAAAAACCGAAGCAAGATGTTTTTCTCTTCACAACTACAATGTTTAAAGCAAAACTCAGTACTTAATGTGTAAGTCATTGCTTTCACACAAGATGCTCTCCCACCTGAGCTGGACTCAGAAATCTATTTCTGCTCATGGGAAAACGTTTTTCTGTTCAGCATCTGTTACTGCCCTTGAGAAGTTCACACAGTGTCACAGGAGCAACACTTCACAGCACATGGCACTGTTTAGCCAATGAAAATTAAAAAGCTATTGAATAGTTAATACCAGAACTCTTACAACTTCAAACTGCCAGGAGTCTTTAAGCACCTTTCATCCATACACAGTAAGAGGTCATTTCACCAGAGATGTGCAATTTTACATGCAATAGTAAGAGGTAGGAGGCAATTTCCTTCCTTTGAAGCCAAGCCATTCAGTACTGCAGACAGCCGCACAATGACTTAGTAAATGTATTAAATCCAGACCCTTTTCCCTGTCTAGACTAAAGTCAGGAGATATAATTGATACAATTCAATAGTCATGAAGGATCTAATCTCTACAGATGCAGGGACTGTGAAGCAATCAAAGAAATAATACTATAAACCTGAGAGGAGGACCTGGGTTCAGGACAACACAACAAACTGCTGTTAAAGAGAACATGGTTTGGAAAGACAGTAATTCCACAGAAGACTAAAACCTCCATGTGCACTACAGCAGAAGATGTAAGATTTTAGGTAAGCACCACAGAGAAAAGCTGTTTGCCAAGAGCACAGAACTTGCTACAACAAAGCAAACCCCAAAGCCCACCAGCCCCCAAAGCTCCTCCACCAGGAATCACTGTGGTCTCTAACAGGTTACAGCCAAGTTGGAACTCAAACACAAAGTCAAGTATCTGTTCCAAAAAGTATGACAAGGTGACAGTTAAAACACCCTTTCTCCTCAGGGCATCATTTTTTAATTACTTTCATCTACTTCTCTAACTTTGATGAAGTTGGAATTGGTTTTGGTTAGTGAAACATCATTTTGCAATTGCTCAGTGACAACTTACAACGCAACACAAAACAGAGGGAGACTCAGACTTTGTTCCCTGACCTGGCAGGAGCTCTCACCTTTCCTAAGGACGCGTTTCTTTGCACGGATATCTGTCTCCAGCTCTGCTGCTCTTATGTAGATTCGGACAGACTGGGGGAGGTGGCGGACAGCTTGGGCCACAACAGCCTTGGCTGTATCTCCAGGCTGAAGCCGAGCAGCTTCTAACCAAACATCTTCACTCTGTCAGGAAAAAGAAACAAGCTTCCTTAAAATGAGAGCTTCTAGCTAAATATGTATTCTTATAATACTGCAGATAGTTAAGCTGTATCAGATATTGCCTGATACAAGCTTAATAGATGATGCTGCTCATAACCATAATCTTTCCCTACTGGCCTGCAAGGATCAGCAGGGATGCAAAGCAATCCTGACCTTGGGGCACATCTCTGTTCCTTTCATGATGAGGTTTCGAGCCACTTGGAGTTTGCCAGTGACCTCCTCCAGTCGGGCTGACGCTATCCAGGCTGGTGGATGATGAGGATTGGTCTCTCGTACAGATTTCAGGAGCAAACGGGCTTTCTTGATATCACTAAAGGAGGAGGAAAGACAGGCAGGAAAATTTTCAGCACGCTAAGGAACAATTCTCCTGAATCACTAAGTGCTTTCCAGGCAGTCCTTCACAGCCACACGCAGATGCACAGTATCTGTGACCTCAAATGTTTCCACAAATTCCACTCCCCAAACAAGCTCACATTATACAATAACACAGCAAGATCACAGTGAAAACCAGTTAAGTATTTAAGTAAGATTTGTAGGAATTACAGCTGGGCACTTGCAGTCGGAAACTGATACGCACAAGCGTTGATTTAAGTCAAGCATTAGCATCAACATTTGCACACATTGCTTTGACTTAAATGGCAATTCTTTACAAAAGAGGTGTCAAACTTCAGGTTAAAGAGGTTTTCAGAGGTTGTCAATCAAGCCTAAATTAGCAGTACACAGGTACAATTAACCAGGTTATTTCCTGGCTGGCAGACAGCCACACACTGCCATCACTCTGGCGTGTTAGTCCAGGGATAGAACAGAAACAATCCCCACAATTGATGCATCCAGGTCAGATGCTAAATCCATCACTTGAAAGACTATACCAGATCTCATGTTAAAAGAATTCATCCTCAAAACCTCACCTAGCATCTTTTACAAATTAAATGCCAGCTGAAAGCCACCCGCTCAGACAGATTTCCATTTATATGCAGGATCACAGCCATTACTAAGAGGATAAATCAGTTAATCCTTCTTAAACTTACTTGATATCTCCTCCATGTGTGGGAATCATTGAATTCAAGTCTGTCAAATATCCTTTCGGGTCCACTACAGTCTGGCCACTCACAGAGTCCGACACCTGGAAAAGTCAAGTCAGCACTCCTGAAATGACCATTCACAGCCCCAAAATCTGCCTGCACACATTAAAGACTGAAAGAGACTCTGCAGCTGTGCAGGAAACCTAAACATTCCTCTGGTACCAAAACCAGTGAAGGAGGAAAACACAAAGCCCTGCTCATAAGCTTTTTTCCCACTTCTAAAATGAAAAACTATGACGTTAAAAATTTAGTACTGCTGAAAATCCAGAAAAAAGCAGCTTGGCTTTCACTCACCAAAAAGTCTTACAGCCCTGCCAGCTAAAGTTCATCTTTTTAGTTTAAACCAGATTTAGATGGGAAATCAATGAAAAAGAACAGAATTCAACAACAATTTAATAGTCTTTTTCAGCATTTTGTCTTGTACTCCTACACAGACAGAAGATATGCTTCCCTTGGTAAAACTACCAGTGCTGTTTGCCCAGAGTCCACCTCTGGTATAACAAGGCAGTCTGTTCCCTCAAAACGACCAAAACTTCCAGGATCAAACTGTTATTTCTCAGGAAATTCTACTGGTGTAAAGAGGATGAGATTTGGGCAGGAGGAGGACAAAATTATTTCACAGATGAGCTGTTTCTTCTAGCATCCAAGAGAATAAAAGACTTTTCTAAAACCAGGTCTTAAAGAACAGCCCACCACCAAGCCTGGGTAAATCTGTGACAGATGCTGCCTCCCAACATCCTTACCTGGCTGAGCCTCATGTCCATCAGGGTGTTCCTGGCTTGGCCGATCTTCCTCATATCCAATTCACCTGTCCCAGGTGTCATTAAGCCTGGGGTCATTCCTCCTGGGTAGGGAGTATTCAAGCCCCCTGGATACGGAGTATTCAACCCACCAAATTGCTAAAAACAAGAGTGAGAAAAATACATTCCTGAAATCTCTTCTGAGATTCCAAAAATAATTCGGGCTGTTGGCTGATCTGCTCTTCTCCAGTGGACACAAGACAAAGATGCCAAAACCCCACAGGTATTTCTGAAACAGTGGCTTCCCTGAACCACAAAACGTTTCTCACACAGGTTTTGCAAATCTGTAAGTAATTACTCCATTTTTATCAAGTCAGCGAAATAAGGAACAAGAAAGTGATTAATTAGAGCACAGGCATCTAAATCTAGCATATTTAAACAAGAATACCCACAAAGTTGTCCCATGGACATCTGGTGCCAGTACAGAGCTAGTCAGCTTCTCCTGTAACTGTACGACCGTAGTAGCCTGTGGCCATGTAGCAACAACCTAAATGACTTAATTTTCAGTTGATGGAAAGGCAAATAATTTTTAACACAATTGCTCCGGGGCTGAGCAAACCATTAGGTGAAAACAAGTGTTATTTTCTATTCCATTTTTGCAAAATGTTGTTGTAACAGAAAGAGATGTTGGATATGCTCACCAAAAATCATTGCCACCATTCTACAGCCAGAGAAAAGAAAAAGAAACACGTTCTTCCATTTTCAACACAAGAACCAATCTTTCCCCGTCTATCCTTGAGTTGTGCCTGGCAACGGGTATGCACTGAAAGACTCCAGGAAACACAGGAATTTAACACCCAACAATTCCTTGGACAGACTTACAAACTACAGCAGCCCTTTTTGGTCAAATATCTTTTTTTTTTCCAAATGCCACTAACGAATCCACGTTACCTTCATCTCTAATTACAAAGCACAGATCACACCTTCACCAGGTTCGCTTTCATACTGACCGTTTGGCGTGGGTCCACGGAAGTGTGATTCTCCCCCGACTGTAAATGCTTTGCAAAGAAGCTGTCGGGCACAGGAGTCAGCTTCTCGTAACGAGGATTCCTCTGACGCTTGTTCCTGGCATCACCAACTTCAGGAATGCTCAGCCACTCTTCTTCCGTCACCTCCGCCAGCTTCCGCTATTCAAACAGGAGGTGTCATCATTATTTGCTGTAGAAATGCATGCCTTTAAACTGTTTTAATTTTTTAAGAGATTTTTCTTTAAAGAGTACAACAATTAAACACTTAAAAGTCAAAGGTCAGATTTTTCTTCTAATCCAATGTACAAAAGAATTAGATGTATTTAATTAGAACTTGGTTTTAGTCCAGACTGAGATCCCAAATCAATGGTGTTATTAAATTCAGTGCTACAAATATTCAATTAATCTCAGCGCCTGCAGCATTGAGTGGTTTATTATTAATCATTAGACAATAGCTTAGACAATACCCTTTATTTAAATAAGATTTAGAGTCAGGACATCCTGCTCAAACACTATTTCAACGCCAACAAGCTATCAGTCCCTCAAAGACAGAAGCGTAGCACCTTCTCAAGAACCGATGTGAAATCACAATAAAGCACAAACCAAAAGCCTAGTATCAAAATTTGCATAAATTTCCCTACAAGGGAAATGCTCAACAGGCAGAATCACTGTATTCTCCCATATCTCTACAAATTAGCTTATAAACACCCACTTTCCATCCACTGAGCGCAGCCCTGAATGCCGCTGTCAGTGGAGACAACGTTGCTTCATCATTTACTGCAGATTCCCTCATGCTCTGATTTAATCAGCACAACCAATTACACTGTCTGTAACTGGGCAACTGACTGGAAATTATACTGCAGTACCTGACAGAGCTTCAAACCAAGGAGAGGTTCTGCACCACTGGCTGCCAGCTTTGTATTCCTTTACTTACTTTTCCAACAGAAAATAATTCTATCCTGGAGGATAAGGAAGTACTTGTTTGCTAACACACAAAATCTGAGCAAATAAATACAGAACATATGTCCACCTCTCAGATATGAAAGATAAAAGCCATATTTCAGACATTTTTTCCTTACTTTCAAGTCGGAGAACTGCTGCTGAATTTTGGGTCGTTCCATACGGTATTTTTCTATTTCCTCTTTTTCTCGTTGTTCCCTTAGGAGAAGGAATACTGCAGTTATGCTCAAACACATGGCAAGTCTTTAAACAAAGTGTTGACATTGCAGAAAAATGTGTTTGATCACAGCTAAGGCATTAAAAAAAGCACTTTTTCCAAGCTTAGATTATCACCATTACGAGAGAGATGTCTTTTCAATTAAGACAATATCATCAGTGTAAAAACAGAACTTCAGCCTTTAACGTCCTCTTACCTGTAGACCAGGTAATGACTTCAACAACTTAAATAACACTCACCAGTTTACACGACACCTGCATTGCATGAATTTTCTGACAGTGTGCTGTGCAGTATGTGATGTGTCAGAACCAGCCACTCGGCATCTCCCCACATCATCTTAATGAGCCACAGTGAATCTTAATTAGCTACAGTGAAGCAATTCAACCACATCAACTCGCAGAGCAAGTTGTGCAAAATTCCCCATCATCCTTAAAACTTGGAAACCTCAGGGTCAAAGGTATGGCATTAAAACAAATAAAAACTGCATACACGTCTGAAAACGTACCCAGCAGACAAGGACAAAATCTGAACTGGAAAATGGAAGAGGGAGAGGAAAACTCTAAAATTCAAACTAACTGGAAAATACTCCCCACCAGCATTGCAATTTATCCTACCTTCTTTCTTTTCTGCGTTCATCCATCCTCTTGTCCAAAGCTGCATAAATAGCATCTGCTTCCTCATCATCTTTTTCATAGGGACCACTTGAGAACAGGCTCCCAGCATACCCATTGAACTAAGAAACAGGAGAGAAAGAGGAAAACAAAAGCAGGGAAAAAAAAGAAAACAAAAGCAGAATCCTGAGTTTAAAGCTCCTGTTATGTTCCTGCTCCAGCCAACAGTCACCCATAAGAAGGCAAATGCACGAGCAGGCTATTTCTAACAACATTGCATCAGACTAACACATCCCTAAATAAAAGCAGCTTTCTTCTACCACCCCAACTGTTTATTCTCTCCCACACAATTTCAAAAGCAAAACTGCTTCAAAATTGCTTCTCTTTCAAAACTGTTTCTATTAAGCAATAAATGAGATCCCAGTATAGAAAGGCCATTTTCTTCCACTAACCGCTTTTATTTTTTTAAACTACTGAAAGCAAACAAAAAGAATAACACATTTAACTAACCAAAGTGGGATTTAAACACAAGAGACTACACAGGCCACATAAAGACAAATATACATCAAACCACAAGAGCTTAGATTTCATTTGTGCAGAATGAAAAAATACATCCCCCAAAGTACTTAAACTAATCTTTTATTTATGGATCTCTTCCTAAGACTCTCAGGGCTTTGTATAGATAATTAAACCACAATAGGTGTACCAACACCACAAGAAAAATCTGCAAGCACTATGCCATTATATATAATGATGTCTCAATTTAAAAAAAAAAAAAGAAAAAAGGAAGTGCTGCTCACAAACTACAGGAAATTCTGGCCTTGAAACCTCAGCTAACAAGAGGGTTTCACAGAAGGAGAGGAGGGAGGTAAAGGATTCCCCTTCCACTAGGGGAAAAACATCTCCAGGATGATGAAAATCTCATCACCTCATCATAATTGGTGTCGTTCAAATCTTCGTCGTCATCATCCGCCGTCTGATTCTTTTTCATTTGATCCCCAACAGTTCTCTTCCCCGGGGGAGCGTGACGATCATCCACAGGGTCGTTGGCATCACGCGCAGGGCCAATGTCAGAGCGGGTGGTGAAACCTGTGGCTCTGTGTTATCAACCAGTAGCAGCTATTTAGCACACTCTGTCCAAATTACTACTGACAGCAGACAATATCATTCTTTTACAAGAATAGCATCAACCACCCGTCTGATTCTTTTTCATTTGATCCCCAACAGTTCTCTTCCCCGGGGGAGCGTGACGATCATCCACAGGGTCGTTGGCATCACGCGCAGGGCCAATGTCCGAGCGGGTGGTGAAACCTGTGGCTCTGTGTTGATCAACCAGTAGCAGCTATTTAGCACACTCTGTCCAAATTACTACTGACAGCAGACAATATCATTCTTTTACAAGAATGGCACCAACCACTCCCCATCCCCATCATTGATAAAGCCTGGGAGGAAAATCTATCCTTTTATAGGGGCAACTTTATCTACAAAGACACTACAATCACTCAGCTCACTGCTCCACCTCCTACGGAGAGATGCTCTCCCTTCTAAACTGCATCTCTCAGTGGAACACATCAAAAAAGCTGATCCTGCAGGTTTTAAGGCGTTATGGGGTGGGGAACTGGGTGACTTGGGCTCGTCAGAAACCCCACACGCAACTGGCCAGCTTTTTACGGGGCAGAGTTGACAGAATCACCCCAGTGTAAGGCCACCAACAAGCCAACAGAGGACAAACATCAGTCACAGCCAGCAAAGGGCCACCAAAATCTGTCTCCCCCTGTTCCCAGCACAAATACAACCAGATCTGGTGATTTTTAACAGGGGCCCACACACATACGCAGTTATCAAACCCAGAGGGACACAATGCCCTCCCAAACAACGGCCTCTAAAGCACCCAGGAACTTATCCCCGGCGCCAGACCCGCATTTAAATACAAAATCGCCCCTCTGAAGAGCAAACGCGAACCATCTCGTAGCAATAACACCTGGAAAACAGAGTAGGCCGCACGGAAGCCGCGGCCTGCCCCGAGGGGACAGGGATGGACGGGGCACGGGCACCCAGCCAGGCACCAAAAGGGGCTCAGGGGCGTCCTGGGACCCGGCGAGGAGGACAGCCGGGGGGTGAGAGGGGTCTGGGCGGGCGGCGAGGCGGGGGAGGCGGGACCGGGGCGGACAAGGCCTCGGCCGGGCCCGCGGGGGGAACCGAGGGGAGCGCGGGCGGCGCCTCACCCGCGGCCCAGCCCCGGCACGTAGCCCAGGGGCGCGGGCATGCCCAGGAACGGCTTCTTCTTCTTGTTCATGGTGCCGGCGACGGCGGCGGAGGAGGAGGAGAACCAAGACCGAAGGCGGCGGACAGGCGGCGGCGGCGAGAGCTGGCAGCACCAGCGGGAGGGGCCTTCCCAGGCGGGCAGCGCGGCGCTTCCGGTCCCGCGCGGGGTCAGAGCGCCCCCTGGCGCTGCGGCGGCCCCCGGCGGCGGTGCTGAGCCCTGCGCGCATGCGCGGTGCTGCTGCGCCCTGTCCGTGCGGGAACGCGGGCACCGGCCGCACCGCATCCGGGCGCGTGTGCTCACACGGACACACACACACACACACACGCACACACACCCCGCGGCTGCATGCACGCCGGCACACACGCGCGTCCGTCTCTCCCGCCGCCTGTGAGACCCGCCGTTCCCCCGGTGCCGGCTGCGTCC